TTATTCCTCTTTTAAATATAACGGCACCCCATCAAGCAGGCAGGCAGGCAGACAGGAAGGCAAAGCAAGGCATAGCAGAGAAAAACAAAACCAAATCTTCAAAGACGATAAAATACATCATGGACGTTTCCGTCCCATATCCGTCTGTATATGATTATGTGATACACCGCGACCACTGTGAAGTCCATCTTATCTTGGCATGCCGACTTGGTATACATCGTGCGTGTTCGCCGACGATCTCCGTTTTGACAAGAGCCGGCCGTGACTTTCGCGCTTGATTTCCTTTCGCGGGGTCGGGGGTCGAGAAGCGTTGTTGCGCTTGGCAGGGCAGGTTGCTTGATTCGGGACTCTGATCCGAGCAGCACCATGCGTTTCGTTGTACTTTGTTGGAATGCCTTCGTAAGTTGACATTCCGGTTTACCTTTCCGCTCTACTTTGGAACTATTCATAGGCGGATAGGAGAGAAATAAGGTCGGATAGACATGTGGGTTTGTTGCTGCCGCTCAGAAAAGTATGTTACACGTTGTTTTTGACGCAATCTAGCATTGTGACGGGATACGCTCGCCTCATCCGCTCGCCATCTTCACTTTGACAAAGGCACTGGTCCATTTTCACTCTGTCGTCTGGCTGTTTCGACGGTCTGCCAGCGCCAGCCAGTGCTCTTATACTTCCAGCCTACTTCAATCGCAACGGTCAATTATGCCTGTTCAGTTCCCTTCGAGAGGGTATCGTCAATTGCGACTGTACAAATCGCTCATTTTGCTGGTATCGCGGCGGAGGAAGGAGTCAGCTAGACTGAGTTGGGATCACGAAAGTCGTGGCTGGCAGAAACACACAGTCAATTTAGTCCGACGGCACTAGTAGTCAAAATAACCGGTGCCTTGCAGAAACTTCCCGCAGACGGTCCCACGTGGAATATCTCTTTTCCATTGTGTAGTGTGTGTGTATATTTGTACCTCTTTGTGCGTGTATTCGGCCTGCTCTCGAACCCGACCCTCCAAGTCCCAGTTGCCTCCTCTCCCCCTGCTGGATAGGACGTCGAGGGACGTCGAGCTCTGGCACAACCGTACTCACATGGCTTGCCAGACTTTTGTTTGCAGAAGACAGTAATATAAAAAATCAAAACGCCATTGTCCAGTATGCTTATCCATATCCCACAGGAATCCTACAAATGAGTGCAGCAAGCTTTGTCTAGGCCGTATCTTATCTCTTCACGTTTCTTCTAACCTCCTCTCTCGTTTCCTCACTTGGACCCCTCAAAGGCCCCCATGTCCTTGAGTGTAGTAGCCAGCCGTCGGTAGTCGCGCAGCAATTCGAGAACCTCGCCAATCTTCAGGTCGCCGGGGTTCTGCATCTCCATGAAGCGCTTGTTCGGCGGGCTGATCTTTGGTATCTGCTTGGGCGGCAATGCAGCTGCAATATCAGGGAAAGCCTGCGAAAGTCAGTACATGGTGTTAATGTTGGAGATCAAAGTACGTACGCTTGCAAGGTCGCCGCCGTCAGCTACCTTGGTAGCCGGGCCATCCTTGGTCATATCTTTAGGTACTTCCTTCGCCGCAATGGGCGTGGATGCGGTCCGGCTCAGACCTCTGATCATGCTCATACCGGAGAACCTGGAGAACGAATTGCCAAAATTCCTCACTGAGTCCAGAGGGTTGGTTGCGTTTCCAGGAGATGGCGTCGGCAGATCTTTCTCCCCTTCTTTGGCAAAGAGCACCTTCCTCGAGCTGTTGACGCTTCGCGAGCTATCTGCGCTATGGTCTCGACTGACTTTGCGTCCACCGATGAGGTTGAGCACCTTATCCTCGCGGACCGGGGGCCGGCGAGTAGATTCGGCCTCTTCTGTGCCATGAACCGAGCTGGCACCGCTGACGGACCCTTCCTCCTCAGGAGGCGGGGTGCTCATCAGCTTTCGAGCATCATCGAGCGTCTTGGGCACGACGAGCCCCTGGCCTGATTCGGTGGGAGTGCCCTGTGTCTCGCGCAACTTGCCGACCAAGAACTTGTAGCTATCACCCAAACTAGTCGAGATCGTCTTTATATGCTGATCGGCTGTGTTGAGCACGGCGTCACTTGCGGCACCAATGGCCTGAGCAGGCGTGTTGACGAGCTCGCTCAGTCTTCTATTCCGAGCTTGAACCGCAGCACGCAGCCCGGCCGATGCGGAAGGCGACGCAGGCGGTCTCGTTGGCGTGGCATTGCCAGAGTCGGTCTCCACCGAAGGATCCGCCGTTACCGTCAGTCCAGGCGGGAACGCCGGAGGGAATGTCTCAGCCCGCGGAGTGCCCGGCTGGCTGATACCTCTGGCAGGACCTTGGGGCAACTCATCGGCCCTCAGTGTAGACAGATCGACCGTCTCCAAAAAGCTGATGGCTGCTTCTAAATTCGTCAAGCAGTATGCGGCCTCGCCCGTCAATTTCGGCTCCCATCTAAAGTGCTGAATAAAGTGCAGGTCGCTAATAACGTTGAGATGCTCAGGAGGAAGCGTGATGAGGGTGAAGATGAGCATAGGCATAATCTCATCTGCGGATGCAGACGGGTGGAATTGCGCCAGAGTCTCGACAATATCCTTGTGTGCCGCTTTCAAGTGGTGTACCTTACCGAGCGGGTATCGCTTCTCATTCATGAGAATCAAGTCTCTTCTAGCCTGCTCAAGCGATTTCTTGATCTCTTCAACCTTTTCCGCAGCGGCTTCGGGTGTCTGAGATGCATCGTCGCCAAGATCGATTCCCAGGTCGGCCGGTCCAATGCCGACCAGCGCGAGTGCTGCGGTCTTTGATCGCAGCTTTGAATCCTGCGCTTCGTCCTGGGTGCTCTTGTGGCGGTAGATCTTGTCGTAGATACCTTCGCACAGCCTGCGCTCCACTGCCTCCTCGATGATGCCACGCTTGGCTTCGATTGCTTTCCGCGCCTTCTTCTTGTTGGCGAGTTCTTCGGCAGTAATCATCTGCTGCTCCGGCTCTGGTTTGGGGAGATTTTTGGGTTTATCCTTGCTTCCGAGGGAAGCCGCCTTGGCTCGAAGCCTGCTAGCTGTGGAGACCTTGGATGACGCGGACGGCGCAGGCGATGCATCCCGATTATGCCGTGTGATCAGACTAGAGATATGTGTGTTGACGTGTGTGGATGCGGTTTCGTAGAAACTCTGGAATAATGCAGAAACATTGTCGATGGTCAAAGGCGCGGGGTGACTTTTCGAGCTGAGAGTCTCGACGAAGCTATCCGCGGTCAGTAAATGACGTGAAGCCGAAAGAGGATGGTGCGCCATACCTGTCAGTCAGACTAACTAGTTCAATTGGAAGCTCACCCAGGTCCACAGAGCCTCTGCCGTCGAACCCATCGTCGTTATCTGTTGACGGCCTTCCAGCAGTCTCGAAAGCATCAGGGCCCTCGGGCTCGTCTGCTGGCTTCTGCTGGACCTTGCTGGCTACGGTCGTCGTCGTCGTTGTTGTCGTCGTCGTCAACGGGTCGGCCGCAGTCCCATTCTGGAATGTTTGAGCTCGTTTCGGGACTCGGAGAGGATCGCTGTCTTCGCTCTGGCGAGTGAAGGAAGGCGCCCGTATCGTATTTGGACGAGCTGCTGGGGATTTGGAGGGGCCGGTTGACGCCATAGTTTCGACGATGCTGGAAGCCATTTCCTTGGTCAGTTTGACTTCGTGGAGATGAAAAAGAAGGGATTTTCAGGCGCTGACTTGGGGCTGACAAGCAAACGTACCTGGTCTGATGTTGTCAAGGCGGCATTAAGTAGTGGAAGCGATCTTGAAACCCGATATCAGAGGAAAGAGATCCCTGGTTGTGGCACGCGGGACAGATTTATGCCATAAATGGAGTAGGAGAACAGGGATGATGGCTCGTAAGATGGCCCAAGATGGCAGCTATGTTTCTATTCGCATCTCTAACAAAATGATGTCAGTGCCGTAGATGGGGCGCACGGGGTGCCTTGTGCCAGCGCAAAGCAAAGAAGAGGGCGAGGATGGGGCGAGAGAGCAGTGAGGTTTTGAGGATTGTTGGTCTTTGAGCAGCTTGAGAATAGGCCGTTCCCATGAAAGGAAGGTAACGCAGGTAACCAACCGAGCATGCCAGCTATGGTCGGTAAGGAAGACAAGTTGACAAGGTAGCTCCCGCCATGCCCCCGCTCAAGTTTTATTGGAAGCCCACAGGTGTCATCTGCAGACGGATCCGACCTTCAGTGCATGCATGTGCTGGGGGGCACGAGGAGGACTGACAGCGGATGTCTTAGCCTCAGGGCCTGATAGCAACTGTAGCTACCTTAATGTAGGTAGGTACGAATGCTCTGTACTCTGTACTTTGGGGCTTGGTCTTGATTCCTGGATTCCAATCAGTGATGGGCCCATTCTAGTACCTTGCACAACGTACCTTGTTCCGAAGCATAAATGGTGCCTCGGAATGTCATCAATGTTGGGCGTATTATCCATGGCAGCAACCCGGACGGGTTGCGACGGGATCGTTGAGTAGCCGAAGGTCCGCTGAAGATGCCCCTCGATGGTCCCCCAAAGTGGCGTGGAACGGTGGATGCCAGGCACCAGGCAGCTTCGGATACAGAAGGCATGCGCGCTATCTGAGGGGACATTGGTCACATGCTGGTGCGGGTATCCCTGGTTGCGCCTTATCGGGGGATATGAGACTATAGGTACCCGCCCAGGGTAGCTGTTAAGCCGGCTGCAGTATCGACGACATAAAGTCTTAACGCAGATCCGGAGGCGGAGACCTTTTGGCGCAGGGAGTGGGTTATCGGGCCTGATCTGTGCACTCTCCGCGAGTCGGAGGCAACGTAAACAGCGCCAGCGTCGTCCACCTGATGCTGTCATAACTTGGGGCACGTTGTCTGCGCATCTCAACGTCGGCATCATTGATCCTCTTGTACTCATCTACCTCCACGCGTCGCCTTCCGCAAGACCCAACCTCTCGTTGCTTTCACTCCCTACGCTTCGTCAACCATTATTCCTGGATGCGGCTTCTTTTTCTTGTGTCTTGAGACAACCATGAGACTCAAATTAGGGCGAGGGGGCCAGTGTAGCTCTGCTGGCAGGGTTACGGCACAGCTGCTCTTATCGTTCCTCGCGGTATCACCGACTCTAGCTTCCGTTGGGGAAGTGCCAAACAACGACGAGGCCGTCCTTCAACCAGGACCTTTACTTCCACCCAGCACCGCACAACCCAACACGGGCGAACACATATTTACATTACGACACATTTTCCACCATGGAACATATCGGCATCCTCAGCTGCACCGACGCAAGGATGTCCGCCACTCCGACGGCGCCGATAACCAGGTCTGGCTGGCGGAGGAGGACGGATACAAGAGGGAAAGGGTGATGCCTCTGAAGGCCCAGAGCACGCCTCTCAAGATCGAGCGCATGGTTGATCGTCGGCCGTCTGTCGTTGATCCCATGGTCACCGAAGCTCGTCAGCGCGGCTATGTCAACATCATGTCGCCATCCGATTGGACTACCGACGAGGTCCCCGGACCCAACATCACGGACAAGGCCACGGTTATCAGCCTTGCCATCATGGCTGCAAACGCTTACATTGAAGAGGAGGGCAAGGCGGACTGGGAAGAGGTCGGCAGCGGCTACAATAGGAGCGCTGATTTCGGATGGGAGGGTGACGGACTCCGGGGGCACATCTGGGCGGACGAGACGAACTCGACTATTGTTATTGGCCTCAAGGGAACTTCTACGGCCATCTTTGACGGAGAGGGAACCACCACCAACGACAAGGTCAATGACAACCTCTTCTTCAGCTGCTGTTGTGCTCAGCAGGGGCAGTGGACCTGGCATCAAGTCTGCGACTGTGCCACATCCACCTACTCATGCAACAACACCTGCGTCGTGCAAGCGCTCAAAGACGAGCACCGATACTACACGGCGGCCAAGGAACTGTACTCGAACGTTACCGAGCTGTTCCCCGACTCCAACATCTGGCTGTCAGGCCATTCTCTCGGGGGCGCAGTCAGCTCCCTCCTGGGCCTGACCTACGGTATTCCCGTCGTGACCTTTGAGGCCGTGCCAGAGGCGCTCGCCGCCAGCAGACTGGGACTGCCTGTTCCTCCAGGATACGATCAGATGCTTCACCAGGCTCGCACAGATACCGGCGCCTTCCATTTTGGTCATACGGCAGACCCCATCTACATTGGGACCTGTAATGGTGCTACTGCGACGTGCTCCTTTGCCGGGTATGCCATGGAATCGGCCTGCCATTCTGGACTTGAGTGCGTTTATGACGTTGTGGCCGACAAGGGATGGAGAGTCGGCATCGGAACCCACAAGATCCGATCTGTTATCCACGATGTCATTATGAAGTATGACACGGTCCCAGAGTGCAAGGCTACGCCCGAATGCCGCGACTGTGCCAACTGGAAAATGTATGAGAGCAACGGGACCGAATCGACCACGACGTCCAAGTCCTCGACAACATCGAAGACGCGTACTCGGACAGCCACCTGCCAGACGCCGGGCTGGTGGGGTTGCCTGGATGAGACCACGACGACGCCGGTTACCACTACTACTTCCACGTCGACCACGTCCACTTGTAAGACCCCTGGCTGGTTTGGATGTAAGGACGAGACGACCACGACTACAACCACTTCGTCTTCAACTACGACTACAACAACGACGACTACTTGCAAGACACCTGGATGGTTTGGCTGCAAGGACAAGACTACATCGACCACGAGCACGACTTTGTTCCCCGGCGCAACCCCGTCTCACACCATCACTGCCGCGCCCACGGCCACCCCGACATCAGCGCCCACCAAAGCACCCCCTTCAGATCCTCGCTGCAATACGAGGTACTGGTTCGGATGGTGTAAAGAATGGACCCAGGCGGGCGAGAGCTGGAGTGAGGAGATGTGATTAGCATAGGTCCAGATTTACCTGTACTTTTGGGTTGAAAGGGATGCGGGAGCATTACATGAATTAACAGGCGGCGTTTGGTCATGGGAACGGAGTACACATAGGAGCTGGCAATGCCAGCCACAGATTAGCAATTACAAGTCATAGGAAACTATGCAAACAAGCTTGGAATATAGAACATCATATCAGGGTCTCATCTGCAATGATAAGTTGACATATATGGTGTTGGCAGGTCGCCTCAAGAAATCGGGTAACGGCGCACGGAGGTAACGCCCCCTAAGCCCCACTGAGGGACTTGGGGCCGTTGGTTGCTGCCCGCTGCCCGCTAACTCCCGATTCGCTTGTAATTGGTACCTTGCCGGAAGGTGGTTCTAGGAAAGTCGAATTGTCAGACGTCACAAGTGCCGCGACGTCCGCTACATCTACAATTTTTTTTTTTACCCTTCTGGACGCGTCTCACGCAGACACTACTTTACCACCCTCAACGTCAAAACTCTCCCCACGCAACCCATTTCACTCGAACAGGCCGCCGGCTGTACACGCCGCACCTCTCACAGCGCGGCAGACATGGGCTAAGGGCCTAAATCCACACCTTTCAATTCGACCGACGCGATGGCTACGACAGCAAACGACACCAAACCTTCATCGCGCGATGAGTCTTCGGACTCGAGCGGCAGCGACAGCGAAAATGAGACCCCGACAGTCGCCACTCCGACCACAGTAGAATGGCTCGCAACCGGTCGAGAAAAGCGGTCTACCGCCGGTAACCGCATGAAGTCGATGCTCGCCAACGAAGAACCCGATTCGGACCTCGAACTTCTCTTCGCCGAAGACGACAACGATGAAGGCTTCAGCGATGTCGACGATGCTGGTTCAGACGTGCAGATGGACTCGTCATCCGACGACGAGGATGACCAGCAGCAGGGAGACGACCTTGAGGGCGAAAAGGAGCTCGAGAAGCAGGCCAGGGAGAAGAAGCTAGCGTCGCGGAAACGCAAGGCCCAGGAAGCTATCCCGGCCAAGTTCAGAAAAAAGGTCCGCATCGAACAGACGGCCGCACCCGCGCCGCGGCCGAAAAAGAAGTCGGAACGGACGAGCTGGCTGCCCTCGGCGGCTGACATGCCTATCCGCGCCTCGCTCCGCCAGACAACGATGCTCAGCAAGGAGCAGCTGCACCAACAGATGAAGGAACGCGAGGCGAAGCGGTTGAAACAGGTGGCCATCATGGAAAAGAAGGCAAAGAAGCTCGAGGCGTCCAAGAAACCGCCCATGACACAGGCGGAACGGTTGGCTGAGGCGGCCCTCGTGGAGAAGCGCAACGCAAAGTCGTTAAACAGATGGGAGGTGGCCGAAAAAGCGCGAGAAGAAGAACGGCTTGCGAAGCTCGCCGCTCTCAACAACCGAACACTCAAGGGCCCTGTGGTGACGTACTGGAGCGGCATTGGTGAGTGGGAGCATCATCTGAAGCACGTTGGCAGGGTCGCCGAGGAAGAGAAGCCCGTTCGGAAGAAGAGGGAGAAGAAGGAAAAGGTGGATAAGACGAAGGGCAAGGAGAAGGACCAGAAAGATGGCAAGGAGGAGGGCTCAGCGTCGAATGCTTCTGAGCCGACGCTGCCTGCACCGACGACAGAGACGACAGCAGAGGCACAGTCGAACGCAAAGCCTGACGCTCCGCCAGCTCCCCCGACGTCAATGGATGTCGACCAACCTCAGCAGAACGATGCTTCAAAGGCACCCTCGCCATCGACACCCGTTCCGCCCGTCCCAACAGACCCTGCACCGATAGTGAAGACGGAAGAGCGCCCCCGTGTGATGGCTCCCCCACCCATTCCTCCACCGCCATCGTCGTCACTCGCCATGCCCAAGCCTGAAGACAAATCCAGGATCATGGCACCACCATCAATACCACCACCGCCGACCTTTGGCTCCATGTCCATGGCTCCTCCCCCTATTCCGCCACCTCCAAAGACATCGGTATTGGCAGCTCCAGTGCTCGCGCCGCCTGTTCTTGCCCCTCCCTTGGGTGGCATCCACCTTGCTCAACACACGACGCAGCCAAAGTCCAATGTTCTGGCGCCTCCGAATGTATGCCAGCACAAGTCTCCTCTATCCATGCCGGCTCCTCCCCCTCCACCATCAGCAAGACCGCCGCCGCCGCCACCTTCACTAGCACCACTCCAGCCGTCACAAACAATCGCTCCGCCGAAGCCTCCATCACAACCGACGGTCGATCCCTCTCCCGCACCGCCTGCGACTGCGCCTGCGACTGCGCCGGCAGAAGCACCGGCGCCTGAGGAGCCTCCCCCGAGCGAGGTTGCTCGCAACGCCTTTATCCTTCGCAACTTTGACGAAGAGCGTGTGCGTGACAAGACTGTTCAGACCCAGATTCTCTTTGGACGGCGGATGGACCGCCTTGCGAAGCCAGCGCCCCGGCCAGTATGTGTCATTACCGCCCACCCCGCTCGCTACCGCGACCCCGAGACGGGTTTACCTTATTTCAACGCCTACGCGTACCGCGAAATTCAACGACTCCGCCGCGGCGAGTACAAGTGGAGCAGCCTGCTCGGCGCATGGGTCGGCAGCTGCACATATGCCGCTCGCGGGGTGCCGGAGCGGTTCCTCAAGGGAGGTCCGCCAAGACAGCCAAAGAAGAAGGAGGTGGAAAAGGAGGAGGCTAAGGTTCCAGAGACAGAAGCAGTGAAAGGCAACGGCGCCGTCGGGGAAGGCACCGAGAAGCAGGAACCCAATGATGCCAAGACGACACTACCTGCTCAGGAGGGGGTGGTGGATCAGCCGACAGCCAAGACGGATGCCGCGACGGTGCCCTCACCGTTACCGTCGGCGGGGCAGGCACAGACGCAGCCGCAGACCCAGCAGCCGCCGCCGCCGCCAGCCCAGCCGCAAGCGCCGCAACCACCACCACCACCACCACCAGGCCAAGTTCAACCCACCCAGGACAAGGAAGTGAACTTGGCCGTCACCGAGTCTGCCACACAACCCGCTGCCGCTTCGGTTGCGACCGTTGTCTGAGTAAGGACAAACTCTATGGGAGGCCAGCCTGAGTAGTTGAGCAGAACAGAAAAAACTTTACGGGAACGAAAAAGCCACGGCTATTTGAGGATTTTCATCGGACGGTTTGTTCCTGCGCCCTGAACAAATATAGGCTCCGACCGATCAGATCGGAGAGAGTGGGCCGAAACAAGGCACACACCAACATACACACATACCTACACACGGGGAGTTCAGAGGGAGGGTAGGAGGAAAGTCAAAACATGGGGCCAGGGCTCGACTTCCGAGGTCCCCAATGTTCACGGGCGTTTATCAGGCCGCTTGCTGGATTGGGTACGGCGTTATATATGGCCTTTTTGGTGTGGGATGGGACGGGGATACTGTACTTCTATTGTGATAATACCCGCAGGGCAAGTTTTCCCTCGTTGAAAGGTGGGAAAGATATGCTCTGCCGTTCTCGGAAGTGCTCTGAGAAACTTGAACAAATGCTTCACTCTGTCCTTGTGTGTGTTGTTCGTTTTCTTTGCATCACTGGTCATCACAGTATGGTATTGTTCATAAGTACTACCAATGAGGCATGTGATCACTACATCAGGACAAAGGGTCCAGTTCAGTATCTCGTGAGTTGTCCAGCAAAACAGAATTCCGGAACGAACTCCACAGCATTCCGGGTGATTCTTCTCGGCCGGGAGAGAAAAGACCGACGAGACACACATAACCCCCCTTTCTTCCCCTCCATGTCGTCAAAAGCCTCTTTCTGAGATTCCCCTTCTCCCACCTCGTACGTAGTGACACAATTCAATGGTATCAAGGGGCCCTCGGAAGCTGGATGATGAAGCACGAAAGGGGGGATGGCAGACCGAAAGCAGACTGAGCTGCTGGAGGCCGGTATGGCTGGCTAGATGGTTAGGTGGTACGGTTGGGCTGGAGGGCATGAAAAACGCTATTTAAGAATTTGTTTGGACGTTGGGGGTGTAGTGGTTGACTTTTTCTCGTGCCAGATCTCTTTCTCTCTCTCTCGCGCGCGCGCGCGCCGAAGAATGTTGAGATGGTTTTTTTTTTGGTGATCAGACCAGGGCAGGTTTACGTACGACTGTAGACAGACCGCTTACAACCCACGGCCCATAGGGTGGGTGCTACATTCGGCGAGCGAAAAGCTTAATTTGAGGTGTGGTCTCGACTTTCTTGTTCCGGGCATGAGTCGTGATAGATGCGGACATGTGGGAACGCATGATCAGGAGGAAGATGTCAGGTCCAGGGTAGGGAAGTGGTAGAAGGTGGAGGTTCGAGGGAATGTAACGCCGTTGGACATGGCCAGACTCGGAATTCAATCTTTGATCGAAAACACTATCAACGATGCGCGGGATATAGGTGGATGGAGGGGACGAGGTTACGTGGTTGCATTCTGTACACCGCGCCATCTCATACAATCCATCTACGGAACTCCCACTCGCAGGCATGCCTCACCAATACATCCGTTTACGCGCGCGAGCAGAGGAGCAGTAGTAGTAGCATTGCAGGAAGTAAGGCTGTTGACACGGAGCCGCAAATCCGACGTTGAGCCTCACCAGAGCATGCTTCGCCTTTCTTCCCCTGACCATTCGGCCCCTTCACCTTCACGTTGGATAAGCCTGCCATACCATACCATACCACACCACCACGTACACAACCAACCTTCCCAACCTTTCGGGTTCGATATCGGATTCCCGTCTCTCCCTTCCGACCATCCGAAGCTTTCATTCGTTCCTCGTAGCCGTACCTGGCCTTACGTACCTCTCTCTCCCTCCCCTCTCTATAATTCTCTTGGGCGTACGTACGTATACACACACCATCAACATTTACGCTCACTAATACATCGTCGTCCCATGTTCAAGGTGCTGCGGTCTCAGTAAGACCCTCCGCTCTCCCTCCCCTCATCTGAGCCTTTTCTCTCCCTCCCACCCCTACTTTCTTACACAATCCCACTGGGTGCCGATTGGGTATGAATAATAAGCAACCGGGCCATACAACCCCTTCCATGCACCATTCAGAATTTTGATTACCTCGTTTCTGGTGCCTGGGTAGGTGCCTGGCTGGCGTGGGAGCATACCCAGATACTTGCTAGGCTGGACGAGGATTGTGATCGCAAGTATAGGAACACCCTCACTATACCTCGCTGAAATACTCGCATCTCCCCCAATCTCCCGTGTCAGCTCTCTTTTTCTGTTCCGACGTTGACATCACTTGGCGAAGAATTCGCGGGTGTAGGGAGAAATACGCTATACCGCAGAGAGAGTCCATTTGAGTGGTCTCGTAAGTTGAACAGGATCGCAATTCAACCGCTTCTTCCTTTATCTTCGGACCCCCTTCTCGCATACCCCTCCCGTCTCTCCGAGGGGTGAGTCCCCTTGGACACACACGTGTTGAAACACCATTATAAAGAGACACACGAGAGGGGACGGATCATCGTATCTGAGTACATGTCGTCATTCTTCCCCAACGTGATCGGGGAAATCACGGCAAGTAGGGCACGGTGATAATCACTTTGCCTGGGGAAGACGGATCATGACCATGACGATGAACCATGGCGGCGCTCGCCGGACACGAATAGTGCATGCCGTAGTCAAAAAGTAACCAAGACGAAAACGGGAGACATCAAGAACTCCAAACCAAGATTGATGATTTAAATTGTGAGATCCAATCAGTAACGAAATATCAACCGCCAATACTATCTCACAACCTTCAACTAGCCAGTAAAAGTCATGAAGAAGGCTTTCGTATCTCAAGCCCCAAATTACTGCCGCTATACCAAAGGAAACATCGTGAACAATACTGGAGATAATGTAGGTCTTGAAGAGAATGAAGGGAAAAGGGGGGGAAACGCCCGTCGGGAATCTGGTCCAACCAACTACACCTACACATCGTCGTCATCCCCTCCCCTCCCATACCGTACCTTATCCCAAGAGGAGACCAAAACACCCAAATGACATGCATGGCTAAGCTTCTTTCATGGTTTGATGAACACATTTCCCCTCTTGGATGGCTCTTAGCAGGAACTGGGATTTTCTCTCCCGCCGGCTTAACCGCTCATGCTAAGCATCCTCTTCTCCCTCGCTTACTCTCGCTCAACTCTCAAGCTTGCCGACACAACATCCTTCACCCGCCCACCCAACCATATTCTCACATCCAGGGCACACACACACAGACATACAACACTCACCGTTGGACCAATCGCCGTGGTGCCCCTTCCAGCTCGTACGAGGCCCTCGGCCGAGCCTCACGGCAGCTCTCCAATCGTCCACCGCCCACCACTCCGAATCCTTTGAAACCGCAACCGTGAGTGCACAGATGGTATTCGTAAGGCACGTAGGCAGCAAAAAAGAAGCCTATTGGGCCAGAGCCTCGAAATGAGCCAAGGTTGCTTGCTTTTCGCGGGAGGCTAAATCAGTCAGTGACCCATGCTTCAATTTAACAGCCGGCGGTAACCCGGGATGTTGCAGACTGACAGACGGCTTCCATCACTTGGCATATGGGGGAGGAGACAGTTTCAAGCTTCTTGAGTCATTGCAGATGTTTCATTCAGGTTCATCTATCACGATCTCTTCGTTCCGCCTAAACTGGCAACGCTAGTTTGCAATGAGCAACCGTTTCCCATCAATGAAGCTTGCTCAATGCAGCCACGGCAAATTCGATCCAAATACTCCAAACACCTTGGTAATGTGTACCACATTTGCGCCGTTGCCCGTTGTCCACCTTTTCCTTTGTGTGATGGCCATTCCATTGTCCCCAGAGTTCCTCAAAATGTCCACCACATAAAGCGCCGTTGGCATGAAAGCCATGAGTGGTAGTAGCTGTAGAAGGGCAAGGAAAGGGTATATCTCGTCCAGTACTCCGTCCAAAATCCGATTCCTTTTTGTGAATATGAGCTAGTAAGCCCTGTGCCCCAATGGGGAAGGCTGATGCGATGCCGCCTTTTTGTATAACCTGATATGTAATCCGTCTAGGTGGCTTTGGTTGTGTGCTTAGCCATCGATATATACGACGGTAGTGCAGAGTCACCGTGTAGTGTGACCTGCGTAGTAAATTTCTGTTTAGATGCCCTTGCCGCGGATGACATCAACCATCCAGCCCATCTCATTGACCAAGTCGTCAAGGCCGTTATCAGCGGGGGCGGCAACCATGGTGTGAACACCAGGGTGAACCTTGATGCCGGGAGCCCGGGGCAAGCTGTAGTTCTGTTCCAGAGACGGCTTCCTGGTGCTCGGAAGGGACAAGGGCTGAACGAAGTTGGCATCGCTCTCGTTGGAGTAGCGATCCTCTTCGGTAGAGTCATAGAAGGATGGTGTATCATCCTCAGGAGAGATGGGGCCAATGGAGGAGGCGACGCTGGAGTCAGACGAAAAGGAGAAGCGCGAGGCGGATGGTGCCGTCGCCAGGTCTCTCAGCGTCTTGTTGACGGGAAGAGGAGGGAGAGGCGAGTACTTCTTCTCGCGTGTGAGAACTCGCGGGGCGTGCACTACCGGCAAGGTGCTGTCAGAGTGGGAGCGTTTGAAGGGCGGTGGTGACAGGCTGGTCGTGTAGGGGTTGACCTCGTAGGCCGAGTTGGCAAAGTTCTCATCATCGTCTCCCTCCTCGGCAATGTCGTCGGGGATAACAACAGGCGGACGCCCATATGCGCTAGAGGAAGCGCTGGAGAAGGGGTTCTCATCGGAGAGGAACCGTCTCAGGGACTCTGGGGAAAGATCGCGAGTTCGGCTTCCCTCAGATGAACCGCTTCTGTTGTCATCCGAAGAAGATCCAGAGTACGGTGAAAGAGGGCGGTCCTCATCCTCGGATTGGCGGCCACGCTCAGCAAGCCGGCTGGTGGACGGCTTCCTGTTGAACATGCGACGCCAAGACGGCGGCGGGGAGGTAGAGCCGGCGCGGGAAATGGATCTGCCAGATTGTGCGGCCGGTGCGGAGCCCAGTCTTCGAATTGAACCGCCAGGCACTGGTGGTGGCGGCCTGGGCGTAATGAACTTGTCTTCAGGGTTCATGGTCTTCTGTTCACCAGGACGGAGCGAGCCCAACGATGCGCTCCTCTTCCTCTCGGCCACTTCGTAAGGGACATCCAGAGTGTTGACAGTCTGTCCAGGAAGGTAAGGGCAGTTGGTGGTGGTAGGCAGTGCCGGGTTGTGCGACTCTTGGGTTCCATCAATCTCGTACTAAGACGTGTTAGTGCGCGGACCAACCTAGCCTCGCCAGATAACCTACATAGTAGTAGTAGGTGTTTCCCATCTTCAGGCCGCCGTTGCGCTTGGTATCCCTCGCACCCAAGTCGTCGTCCAGAACAATGTCCTTGAAAGTGTGGCATCCGCGCCATTGGCCGCGATCTCGTCGAATATCTCGTTCCATGGTGTATGGTTTGGTGAAGTTGTCCCAGGAGCCGACCAAGTGTACTGATCTTACAGTCGGATGAGTCTGACTACATAGTCGTGATGGTCAGCGAAGGTAAGTAGAGGGGTTGCTTCTGGTAATATATATGAAGAGCAAGTGAGAAGGTATGAAGCATGATGCGAAAGCCAAGACACCAGCCACTGGGCTTGCGCCGAGCATCAGACCTGGTCCCCTGTCCCCCACCCAGGAGCGGACGAGGTGCCGATCACCGTCGGCGACGATTTTTTTGGCTTTGCAAGGTGTTTGACGGAGTTCTCGGAAGGTTGCCGCTGAGAAGCTGGTAATGGCAGGTGAGAAGGTGTGAGGGGAGGAACGGGCGCAGGC